TACTGTCCTATCTTTTGAATCGAATCACCAGTATGGCGCCGATTTATGATGTCATTTGTATTGGCCAGTATACTGGGTTCTATTTCGGAACATACCCTAGAAGCATGGAGTATAGAGATAAGGAGGCCAATCTCCCATAGAAGATCGTTGAAAAAGTGTCCATCTGTAAGCAGTAACTAACAATTCAAAAACTCTCTACAACAGCGCTCGAGTAGCTACAGGGTATGATATATCGCCGTAAAATTCATTAAGAGCGATTTTGAAATTAAAAATTTCGAAAGCAATAAAATAATTATTGTAAAAAGAATTATGGTGAGTCTGTATAATAAAAAAATTAAGACTGTAGCTACAGTGGCGCCACATTAATTTAGCGCTTTCCTACCTTTGACTAGAGAAGAAAGAAAGGACATGACATAAAGATCGTTAGTTGTAAGAATGTAACGAAATATCGGCGTCTCTTTTTAGCTTATGAGTATATTCGTATGTAAAAAAGGACAACAATAGTTTTATCAGTACCAAATATGGCAACAATTTTTTCGCTGCAGCCTAATGGTGGTTAATATAGCGCATAACGCCATATTATAGCGCGCTATCTCTTCATAACGCATAGCGCGTTATATGTAAGTAGCCGCCACGGCGCTATGGCGCTATGACGCTTTGGCGCTATGACGCTTTGGCGCTATTCATATCAAGCTGCAATTAGTTCTAGCAGCAGCGCTGTTGGGAGTAGACGTGTGACGCAAATTTAATCTAGCAGCACGCTATTCACCGCGCACGAACTAATTTAGTGTTAGACAATATTTAGTAAGTGTATACTGTATATTTATAACTGATCGAAGGACACAGTTGTCGGCTACAAAAGAAGCCTACCTAATGTTTTTAAATGTAAATAAAATATAGATACAAAAGTGTATATGATAGTGTTTTTAAATAGTTGATTTTTATAAATACAATCAATAAACTTTTAAATACACCTTTAATTGATTTATGATTTATATTCAGTTTAAAATAACGTTTATATCAATTATAATATAAAATGATTAATTTTATTTTGTTTTAAAAAGTACACGCCTTAAAAATATGTTTAGGATTATAGAAAGTTAGAAAGTCGTAAGCCTGAAAAGTATGAAAGAGCGTTCATTGATTTTATTTTATTCTAAAATACCACTTGTTACGAAACAATGTTCTTATATAGCACGCGGTCTATCCAATGAACAACATGTAGCGTGCTCCGAGATATAGCGTGCTGCAAAACTTAACGCGCTTGCCGGCCTCCTACACACTTTTTTATAAATAGCGCGCAATAACATAGCGTATTAAATAAGCGCTAGAAATTTCTAGTTTATAGTCTGTAGCGTGCTATTGATTTATAGTCGTTTTGAACAACTTTACTGCAGCCGGGCGCCATGTTTTGTCACAGTTAATGACAACTATATCAGTTGTCATTGCGACTTTAGTGAGGTGAGTGTGTTATTTTCATATGTTTCTCTCGAGGAATTCAATTATTACGAAATTTCTTATTCTATTCCTCGGGACCTCTAAATCGGGATAAAAACTCTCCTATATGTTAATTCAGGTAATAAATTATTTGTGTGCCAAATTTCGATTGAGATTTGAGAGATTAATTGAAAAGTCGATTGAGGAACAAACAAATATTCAAACTTTTGCATTTATTATAGTTTGATTAGTGTGAGTATGATGACTGAGCCTAATTTACTGTCTAACAAACAAACAAAAATTCCTTAATTAATAGGTATTTCTTGTTTAATAATTCCCGGGAAATAATTGTAACATTAATAATAGACAGTTACATTATAAAAACAAAACAAAAACAACTGCTTAAAAGTAGTGAACTGAAAACGTAGGTATAACTTTTATATATATATATATGTCTCCTTTTAATTTCCTTTATTTTGACACCCCTATCGATATGTTGAGTAAAAACAATTTGGCGCCAAATAATCCGTCATATTGATTAAAAAAACCTATCTAAGAACACACGGGTGTTTGGGACGAATCACACGAAAGAATCTTTTTCTAAATAAGCGCCGTATTATCGATATTAAGTATAGTGCGCAGCACTTCGTCAAGCCGCCATCTCAGACTCAGTGCCAGACTCAGTTTAGGTATACGCGTTTGTTTCGTAGGTATGTCATGTCCTTTCTTACTTCTCTAGTCAAAGTTTCCTACGGACCCTTTTTTATACTGTCTCTACTCCTTACCTCTACATTAGGGATGTGAGATTAATGGAAAAGAATCGATAATTTTTTTTTAATTTTTCAAAATTAATTGATTTTTAAAAATAGATTTTTATTAAATTAAAAAATTAATTTCTGCGAAAAAAATCTTTAATTTTTTTATTGTTTAAAGTTACACGCTTTTCATATTCCAATGATAAATCTAAGAGATTCATATTAACAATTTATGAGATTAAAAATCAAATAAAATTATATGAATAAAAAAATAACCAATTTGAAACTAAAAATCAAAGGCAATGTTCCCTTAAAATTTCAAGGTAAGGAATTAGGAAACCAAATAGCATTATTGATACAAATTTTAGTACAATTAAACGTTTTATTTATTATAATAAATATGAAATTATGAGCATCCCAACAAAATGACAAACTTATTGTCTCAAAAACTAAAATATAAATCAAATATCAAAATTACCATAAATGTCCAGTCCTATTTTACATTTGACTAGTTTTAAAATAAAATACTTAAAATGAGAATTAAAAAACTAAACGACTACGCTATAATTTTTTTTATAGAAGAGGGGACAAACGAGCTTACGTTTCACCTGATGTTAAGTGACTACTGCCGCCCATGAACATCCGCAGCACCAGGGCTATTGCGGGTGCGTTGCGGGCTCTTTAGAAAATGGTAAGCTCTTTTATTGAAGGTCCTTAGGTCGTATCGGTCCGGAAAAATCTCTGATGGTAGACTATTCCACAGAGGAGCTGGCACTGGGAGCCCCAGCCTAGAGATGGGAACAAAATTTCATGTGGAGCTGAACCTGCGCCTTGTAAAGTTGTAGGCGTTGTATCGGCATGAAATACAGTCCCGCTCTGCTGAGCACGCCAAGCTTTTTAGAGGCCAATTTGGCCTTCTCTTCCAAGTGACCACGAAACTGCACGTCACTCGATATGTCGACGAAGAGGATTCCGATACTTGCTGAAGCAACAGGGGAAGTGCCGTGAAACTGAGAAGATACGACAAAGGGGTTCTTTTTGGCGGTTAACGCGCAAAATTGCGTCTTATGAAGGTTAATCTGGACTAGATTTAGTCGCCCTAAATTCGAGACTTTATCACTATACTACACTGAAACGAATTTACACGCCTACATACATGCCTACAGATGGCACAGTTTTTATTTAATCAACTTATACGCATGAATTAAATTCGATATTTTTCATCCAATGCATAGATGTGCTGTTTATAAAATTGAAACTTACTGCAAGATTTTTTCATACATCGCATAGATAATAGCTGTTTTTGAAAATCGATTTAAGCACGTAATTTATATAATCGATTTACTAAAAATCGATTAATATTATTTTAAAAATCAATTATAAAAAGCGATTTAAGAAAATAGCAATCGATTTAAATAAAAATTGATTATTTTTTAACATCCCTACTCTACAATTCATACATTTAGTCAACCAAATCTAAGAAATACTCGTAGTCACACGATTTATTATATCCTTTTACGTAAATCCGAAGAATTATGAAGTTATCGATGTTTCATTATAACGTGTATAGTTTTTTTATCACTAATTTAAATTTGAATTTTTCAAATAAAGCAAAATGTTAAAAAATAACCAGTATTCACTTTTTTAACTTGACGTCGTTTCAATGACATGTCGCTATGTATATTACCGTAGTGTTTGGACGATTAAAATTCGTTGTTATGCGAATAATCGGCAAAATAATTAAATAATCGGTAAAAATATTCTAATAATCGAATCATTAATTTCTTTAATGTATTATTTGTTTAATGTAATTTTTATTTTCAAAATTCCTTAAATTACATGAATTATGAATAAAACAAGTTTATTTTTTTTTCACTTTGTCAAAGTAAATTTTTGTATGAAAAAAAAACTCATATACAAGGCCGTGCTAAAATAACCACTACATAATTTCAATATCCAGCCATTTCGGTACCAGTTACTCGACTTCACAGAATCAGTAATTCATTTTTGAGGCGATGTATATGCTTTTATAACAAAATGCCAGAAATTACACAAAATTTGACGAAAGTACACATAGTTCAAAAACTTTATTAAACTAAGTTTGTATAAAAAGAGTTATTTTATTTTTTATAGCATTCACATGTCACAAATGAAGATTGGGCAAAAGTGGTAGAAAAAACAAAAAATTGATTATGGATTACTTTGAAAGAGACATTAATTTTGACTGCATTATTTTAAATCAAATAATAATAATTAATATAAACAATGACATCCCTACAAGTTGTACTGAAAGTGATTGAATAAATTTATTTTTAATTTAATTTCAATCTTAAATTTTTATAAATGTGCCTCTAGAAATAAGCAGTAACAACAAATATGAAGAAACTGATAAATCTTGTGCTTTAAATTATCCGTTTTTAATTTATTCTGGTATAATTCAAAGCAAACTGTAAATGATTACCAACTCTAAACAATCGATATCGATTTTTTAAGAATCGAATATTTTACGTTCCCATTTTTTGGTTGGCATCATCATGGCAACAATAAGTCTGAGAGCTGTCAAAAGGTATCTTTGGTTGATTAGATCACAGTAGCTTGCTACAGAGTACCTTTGTATAAAGCGCTACCGCTTATAAGCGCTACATATTTATTTATCTATGGATCACAGATTCCTCTACTATGATCACAGAACATTGATGTTTTGACTTTTGATATTTATTATCGTTATTGTTATTTTTGGGTTTGTTATCGAAATTATACACCAATTTAACATTTGTTTTCATTCCCACGAAATTTCGATGTATTGAATTGAACGGAAGCAAAATAATAATTGGAAAATTTAAACATTTTAAGTAAAAAAAACTGTTTGTAATTATTATCGTTTCAGATACGCCTGATAACTATATAAACAAGATTGTTGCTTTGATTTTCAGAGAAATAATGGCTGATGATATTGACATTGAAGAGCATGATTTAATGGATAATCCTGTAATAAGAAACATTTTTCCGGATTTGTCTATATTGAAAAAGGAAGTTTTGGACGAGTATAATGACAGTAAGTACCTGTAGTGCCTCTGATATCGAATTATCCCTTATTTATGATTCTACCATGATACATCATTAGTTTAAGTAGGAAAGAATGTACAAAACCTATTATCTATTTTGAAGGGGAGGTAGCAGACCATTCCTGTGAAAAGCAAGGTTGCACATTAATAAGCACTTGCAGAATCCCACTGTGTGAAACGGTGAGATAATTTCTGTCCCTAGAGTACGGAGGGTTTGACATGAAAACATATATTTTGTAACACAAGTTGTTTTAAATGATGTTAAGTGGGGCAACATACAACATAGACTAGGGGGGTTATTACTCTTAAAAATATACTTATTCGGCAACATAAGATTGTAATTGCTTGGGTGCAGCCAATCTGCTCTTGCCTAATAAATTGCAGGTACCCATACCTCTGCACCTTCATCTTGCCTCATCTTCCATGTCTATATGCTAAAACATATTTCATGTGATGTTTCTTTCTCAAACTTAATATGTTTGTGATCAGACATCAAGTTCTCAGTTATCTGCCTCACTTTACAAAGGTTATTTTACACCCAAAGTTTAAACCTGTGTCTCTAACTTCTAGTATAACTCACCTCTTTTGTTGAAGTTGTTACTTCCCCAAGCTGTGTGATGTGCGTTTGCATAAATTGCTAATCCCATCATTAGTTTGGAGTTGTGATTTTGGGCGTTTTCTGCTACTCATTCCAACTCAATGGCAGTATCTGACTTCTTGCCAGGAAGATAAGCTGAGCAAATTATTACTCAGGCCCCTGTTATTCCTTTGTGATTTATAAAAGCTGTTACTAGATCGTATCTGCAGTGCTCTGAAACAGCTTGGAGTTTAATATTTTTATTGTATATTACAAGTGATATGGGACTGCTACTGTTGTGTTATCAGCAGCAGCCAATCCCAGAGCTTGTCCATTAACCACTTCATACTTTTGTTTAAGCCAAGGTCAATGTTATCCTCTACAAAGCAGCACTAAGTAGCAGATGCAGCTGCTGTATGATGGAGATTTGCTTGCAGTAATCTCATGCAATCCTGGGTTAGCCTGGTGTTTTTTGTCTGCTGAGGATGAAGACATACTTTGCTGATAGTTTAACCCTTGCCACATTTCCCCTTGTGGCCCCCTACTTCTCTCTATATCAGATATTTGGGCCCATGCTCACCAATGTCGTCCCAAACTTATTCTTCAAAGTGGAGTGTTGGAAGAATTGGGGTGGAGCCGGCACTTGTTCCAGTGAGGTATCAGAACTACTCTCCTTTTTTCGACTTAAATTTTTTGTCAGAATATGCTCTTCGCCAGGCTCCTTTCAAAAAGTTATTTGTTTGTTGGCTTCTTATCGGGCTTCACAAATGCTGTATATCTGTACCTTACCTACCTATAAACATTGTGCAAATAATCCCTTATACAGGCTTATACAGGTATGCAATAAACTTAAACAGGGGTGCAAAGCCTAGCACTTTTATAAAAAAATGCAAAGTACAGTGGGTTATACAAAACAAGCATGATACATATTACAATAATGAAACTGGTGTTTAAATTTTACAAGTTTTAATAATGGGAATATATATAATTGATTATGTGGGAAACTGTACTGCGTTTTGTGAAAATGTCCTGGGAAGAACCAGCAAGAAACTTAGAGGGAAAAGTGTATCACTCATGAAAAATAATTTAAAGATCCATGTAAATGCATTGGAATATTGATTATCCTCATTCTATTTAGTTGTTTATCAAGTTTGTGTTACATGTTTTATTTTTCGAATTATGTAAAGAAAGTTTGAAATACTATTTGTTATATATATCTATACATATAATAAAATTGTAGAAAAGTGGTGTCTGTACAATGGAAATATATAAAAAAAAGTAGCAGGGGTTGTTATATATCGATGCCGAACCTGAAATTGTAATTAAATTTTTTTGTCAGTTTGTCTGTTTGTCCGTGTATTTGTGCACGCTAATATCAGAAACGGTTTATTCGATTTAGATTCAGTTTTCACTAATATATAATAAACACTAAATGTTAAGTAAGCTTCACTTAACAGTGTTTATTTCATGTCAGTCAGTATATAAATAAAAAAGTTATGTCAATTTAAAGAATCACGGCGAACATTTGTTAAGGTGGCCCTAGTCGATGGCACGAACTAAGTGGTGGGCGGGGTGAAAGTGCATGCTATCTCAGCCGATATTACGTGCGAAAGCGAAAGGCATGATGATTTACAACAAAACGAGCGCGCTAAATTTTATAAATAGACCTTTGGGAATCTGGAAAAAATATTTTGAATGTATCTGTTCAAAATAAAATTATTTGCACTTTTGAACACCTAATCTATCCCTGTATGATAACTGTTTTGCAATTTTCGTTCTTCTTATGGTATTTATTTCCGCCCAAAGATGTGGTAAAATTAGTACTTTTAAATATATTCTTTTTTTTTTTACTTTTTTGTTTCCATACAGGGCTAGATAATGATGAGAGAAAATTAAATCGTTTTTAATTTTGAACGTACACCATCAAACAGTAGAGTAATCACCAGACTACGTTTGTATGGAAGAAAGAGTGACTAGTTTACCCTTAAGGTATTAATATCAGAGTATGTATACGCCTCGCGCCTGCGCGTCCGTTGCTATATAAAGCGCGCTGAGAGCCGCGCCGCTGCCATAAGGATTCAGTTATTCGTAGTGAATACACATATCCTTAAGACTATAGGCGAATAGTTGCATTCAATTATTGTGATTCACTTGAATACTGACTGTTTGCATATTTCATTTACTTATACTCGTATTTTTTAGGTAGGGTTTGTAGGTTAGGTTCTTTTTCTTAATTTTCTTTAAAATTTTGTAAATAAATATTGTAAGTATTTGGTATAGGTTAAGCGGTTCTTTCCTTGATTTTTGGGTATTTACTTATCTTAATTTTCATTTAGGGTTTGTAAATAAATATTGTAAGCATTTGTTATAGGTTAGGCATTTCTTTCCTTGATTTTCGGTATACTTATCTTAATTTGTATTTAGGGTTTGTATATAAATATTATAAGTATTTGGTATAGGTTAGGCATTTCTTTTCTTGATTTTCTTTATTAAGTATAAGTTCATTAGCTCAGGTTAGTAATTAATTTTTCTAGCAATTCTTTTGTTTTATAAAGTTAGTACGTTTGGTTTACACGTCTTAACACTTATTACTTAAACTGTGATAATTTTAGACTGTATAATAATCTGTAAGTATTTATTATTTAATTGTTTACGATAGTACGTGTTTACTAAATAATTGTGTGTTAAGTAGTAAGTACTATTTTATTGTAAGAATGCCTTGAAGAAGATCCAACCTCTCCCAATGTAGCAGAAATGCTAAAAGGATAAGATTAGTTCGATCACAGGAATCTGAGGAAGGTCGTGAGGGCTCTCTGCAACTCGGGAACATCAGGCTAGGTTTCGTGCTGCAGAAACTTCGACTCAGCGAGAATCTCGACTGAGTTCAAATCGTTCTCGAATGATGACATCTCGAAATAGGGAAAACGGGGAACAACGAAAGGCACGTTTATCTGTCGATCGTGAAGCTCACGCGCTATCGCGTGAGTCTGAGACTTTTGCTGACAGGGAAACCCGCCTGACCTCCCAGAGAGTACGGACAACAAATTCTCGATCCCAGGAGACACAGGACGAACGGGAAATACGTCTTACTGCCGATCGTGAAGCTCATGCACTATCGCGTGAGTCTGAGACTATCACTGATAGGGAAATTCGCCTGAGTTCTCAGAGGGTTCGGACAGCAAATGCCCGGTCTCAGGAAACACAGGAAGAACGAGAAATACGTCTCACTGCTGATCGTGAAGCTCATGCACTATCGCGTAGGTCTGGGACTTTCACTGATAGGGAAATTCGTTTGAGCTCTCTGAGAGCACGAACTTTGCGGTCTAGAGAGCTGGAAAGTAGTTTCGATCGTGAATCTCGATTAACAGCTGATCGAGAGCGACACAACAAAAATAGACTTCTTATAATAAAAATGATGATGAATATCGACAAAGATTACAAACATCTAGAGAAAACTGGGAGCAAACCCGTCAGAGCGAGGAAAATTATTTATTATCTGAGAGAGAACGAGTAAGGGAAATTGGGCAAGGAGAAACTGCAAACGAACGCCAGTCACGGCTGAATGCCGATCGAGTTGCGCATACAATCAATAGAATGGTGTCAAGGTCGATAGAAGATCCAGAAAGTGGAGCGGAGATTGAAATCCTTCCATGGGCGAACAAACAGAAATCAGGTTATTCATATTCGCCCAGAATTGATTACTCTGAATTCGCCATTGTAGGAGTTATTGTGGTATGTTGTCAATTTTGTGATGCCTTAAAATGGCAAAAAGAACCAAATAACATATGCTGTTCAGGTGGCAAAGTGCTCATTGAAAATTTACGTGAGCCTCCAGACATTATAAAAGATTTACTAAATGGGGAACATCCTCAGTCAAAACTTTTTTTTGACAATAGCCGTTTGTATAATAGTGCATTCCAAATGACATCTTTTGGGGCCAAACAAATCACAGAGGGCCCTTTCATGCTGACTTTTAAGGTGGAGGGCGAGGTTTATCACCTTATTGCATCTTTGCTTCCACAAAATGAGCCTAAATTTCTTCAAATTTATTTTGTATCAAATTACAATGAACAAGCTTATATCCGACATGATAACTTTCCTCGATTGAACATCGAACTTATCTCAACCTGATCTCAACTTCAAAATATGTTACATCAAGTAAATCCGTATGTCAGAAGTTTCAAAGCTGCAATAGATTCCATCCCACAAGGCCAAAATAACAATTATAAAGTTATAATTAAGGCTGATAGACGTCCTGTGGAAGAACATCGTGGAAGGTACAATGTTCCTGTTGCAGACGAAGTTGCAGTAATCTTAGTCGATCAGGAATGTGACAGACGTAATATAGTATTACGTACTCATGATGATCGCTTACAACGCATTTACGAAACACATCGATCGACATCGATCATC